AATTTTTTTCCAAATTTTCCCAGTAAATTTTCATCAATTTTCACTATTTTTCACAAGTTTTTTGAGGTTAGGAAAAAATTGTGACGTGATGGGCCAATTCTGACCCCAGATTCGTGTTCAGGAGGCCAAATTACTACGAAAAATATATGTCGCATAAAAAGTATACCCAACTTTTTTTTGTGTGTGTGGCTGTGTTATCCTTATTATATTTTTATGTTAACTCGATAGCGGTGACAATGGTGCTGAGTATGGAAAGATGGGTTAGAAAAGAGGCTGTAGTCACAGGTGCCAGTTCCGGTATTGGAGCTGCTATTGCTGAACAACTTGTTAAACAAGGACTTCTTGTAAGAACGACGTCGTTTTCTTATTTCTATGGAATACACCTGTTGATATAAATACATATATCTAATCACAATGATTATGTTGGGAAATCTAATCGGTGCTTTTGTTTACGAACGGTATTTGGACGTAATTCAGTGGCAGGCTAACCTTCCTAATCGATTATTTTCCTAGACTTTCAACTCAACTCAACTAAACCATATTAATAAAATGTTATTTCCACAGCACTGGAAATTTCAATTAATGAGTTGCTAGAGTAGACGTTCAAACACCGCCTATGGTAGCTCCGCAGAGGTTATGCAGTGATCTTCGCCTTAAATCTGGTCTTTTTGCATCTCCAGATTTGCCGATATTTGGAATGTGGTCGCCTCGTACTGGTATCTAAGCTGTAAGGATGTAATATAAATTGTGGTAAATTCTCAGTTTCAGTAAATTGGCCAATACAGACAACATAACTGATTTTAATTTGTAAGCCAATTTTGGCAATATGTAGTTGGGTTAATTTAGTGTAAAAATTAATAGTCTTCAATTTCGTTTTGTTCAACTGCGACAATTTATTGAGTATTAATAAATGTAAAACAACTTTTAGGATATTATTTTGTTTATCTTGTAGGTTGCAGCTCTAGCACGAAGAAAGGACCGTTTGGAGGAACTACAGAAGAAAGTCTCGAACCAAAAAGGAAAGTTACACCCGGTCGTTACCGACGTATCCAAAGAAGAAGACATCTTAAACGCCTTCAAATGGATCAAGGAAAACTTTAGCTACAGGAATACTGGGAGGTATAATCTTTCCGATCTCAATTGAAGACCAAAGAGCTAGGCAGTATGTACCAGTTTCGGTCGCTGACCTGTTCCCATATTTATTTAGCCACAGCCATGTACAGGTCTGGTCGAACTAAACGTGGGGGTGGTAGAAATGTATACGCCCAGTTGAAGAATACGCGCGGGCAAACGGCGCACAAAAAAGCCGCACTGGGCGACTGGCCATAAATTTCACTTGTTGACAAATTGCAGTGCAGTGCAGTGCAGCAATGCGGAATTATGTTATTATTGATTATTTTTATTTAATAACTTTTGTAACCTAAAGTAACAACCTTTCCTCATCCTTTTCTGGCAAAGACATGTTCATACCTTCCCGTTGGTTCTTACCGAGCAGTAATGTATTTTAATAAAAATGTAAATGTGTTTTGATATGTCATAACGAAATTTACCGTCAATATAATAAAATTGTTTGAGGGCATTAATAATTAAAATATGTTGTTGGTCAAATGAACATACAATAGAAATTTTCTACACAGTATGCATATACAATTTATTATTATTTTTTTCATTTGGCAGAAAACTTTTTTAAGGACGCTTATGAAACTCATTAAATTTTATTGCTAGGTGTTTTTATACTTGTCCAATTGACTTCGAAAAGGCTATACCTACTGTGATTAAAAGTATTTTAGAAATTAGCTATTCTATATATCAACTATCTTTTTTATTTTGAAGAATATTAGTCCTGGACTTGTCGATACTGAGATGTTGGCACCTGAATCCAGAGGAAGCCCTCTATTTAAAAAAATGTTACGAGAAAAGTCCATTCTTGATTCGGAGGACATAGCGGATGGTGTAGTATACGCTTTATCCACACCAGCTCACGTACAGGTAATCAAAAATTATACGTAAGCTAAACTAGTAAAATAATAATAACACAGCCCACAAAAAAAAAAGTGGAATATCCGAAAGGCAAGACCCTGGTATCTATATGTTTTTGGAGTCGCTGAATCCGAATCCGTTTGACCTGATTAGCTCTGGGTTAAGGTCAATTCAAGGTCAAATATAGAGAATCAATTGCCAACAAAATAAACCAATATATCTATAGATTTTTGGGTTCGCTGAATCCGAATCCGTTATCCGTTTGACCCGTAATTAGTTCTGGGTTAAGGTCAGTTCAGGATCAAATGTTGAGAATCAATTGCCAACAAAGTAAACCAATATATCTATACGTTTTTGGAGTTGCTGACTCCGAATCCGGTGTTCGTTTGACCTGATCATATCTGTTAAATACCCTCAAGTTCTAAACTCAAAACTCTCAAGCATTTATATGTATTAAAATTTGAGTACTTCTTTGAGTACACTTCTCCGATATTTTGACAACAAAATAGTTCGATATTTTAAAAGTGAATAGTAGTCTCAATATCATAATAGTGAGATGTAATAATTTCATGTGATTTATTAAAGCAAAAAATTTCTTATCTTGAAAAGCTTTTTTCAAGAATCGCAACGAACAAAAACACACTGTGTAAATTAATGTAAATGAAGCTTTGAAGCATTAACGGACATATTGTCTTAAAGCTTACTTAATTAAGCTTACTGATACCAGAATTTTATCATGTGAAAACAATAAACTCGAAAGTCACAGGCTTAGAGTTAAAGCTTTCTTTCTTTAATATTATTCGTTACTCAAATTTTAATACGCATAAATGAATACTTGAGTGTTTTGAGTTTAGAACAGATCTGATCAAGTCAAACATACCCTGGATTTTGGCTTCACCAACCCCAAAAACGCATAGAAATGTTAGTTTACTTTGTGGGTAATCGATTCTCTACATTTGACCTTGAACTAACCTTAACCCAGACTTGATCGGATCAAGCGGATATCGGATTCAGATTTACCAACCCCATAAACGTATAGATACTCGTATGTATGGTTACTTTGTTACCCAAAAACGTATACCAAGGTCTTGTCTTTCGGATATTCCATTTTTTTGTGGGGCTGTGTAACTTCAAAGTTTTTTAATATTAATTTGCAAGATTTTAAAATAATTGAAAAAATGTGCTAAATTTTATCATTGTCGTTATTATCAAATGATTTATTTTCTATATTGCAGGTTCAGCAACACACAATAAGACCAGTTATCGAGCCTTTTTAAGAAAATCTAATAACAATGAAAAAATGTTGATCCTTTGAATCATATATTACAGATATAGGCTAACTCGAGAATTATTCCCATTTAAATTTTTCATATTATGTTAATAATTTGCTTTTCCTACAATAAATTGATAAGTTTTTCAACTTTAAGTCGTCCTATCATTTTATGTAAATCTCTTTCCTGAAAAATCTAAAGAAATTTATGTCAAGAATATTCGATATTCAAAATTTGGAAGACAGACAATGTAGTACATACAAGCTCGGAAGAAATTTTCTCGACGTATTTTTTATAAAAGGTTAGTTATCAAGTTATTGTTAATATTTTAATGAATTGCAATCTATATTACTTTATTTAGTCACGAAAATACCTTCGACTATGTGAGCACAGTATTCAATACCCAAATGTACGATAAACTTTTACGAAAATGAAGATATATAGCAAATATCACAAGTTGGTTGGATACACACAGCCAAATAATCCTTGGTGTTTATTAAGAGAGTTTTGTTAAATTATGTACAGCGATTGCTGTTTTTCCAGTTACTGGTAGGTGGTAGTCTACTGACTCATCTCTATTCACAAAAACTCACGATTTTGAGTAATGGTTTTGGCATTTGGTAGGTATCGAAGATACATAAATTTGGTTCCGCAATTGTTGTAACAAAACTAAAGTGACAAGACATTTTAAGAGCCATGCCTTGTCTAGCTCTGAAGACTGTATTTTTCTGTGAACTTATAGACGCCTTTCTTTCAAGCAATATTCCATTAAACAAACTAGAGAATCTCAAGTTCCGTAATTCCGTAAATTGGAATCACATGTACTATCCTAAACTAAATCAACAATTTGATATAATGGATGGTATACAGAAAAATATATACGATGTCAATAATATACGCCCAGTCAGTAGTACGACAAAAAAAATGCAAAAAATCCAGGATACACCATTTGGAAAACATATATAAGGAGTTACCCGCAAATATATTAATATACAGTTCATGCCTCAACAATTTCAAATAATGTCCGTTGTCAACAGTAGACGTTAAACGGTCATTTTCCCTACACAAGTTGATATTAAGNCAGTTTAGTGCTATTATTTCTTCCGGTACCTATTATCGGCTTAAATCTGTTAGTGCGGTTGACTGTTTTTTGTGGATAATTGTTAGTTGTTTGTCTAGACGGTATATCCTCGATTTCGGTGCTATCTTTGCGTATTTCAGTTTTTTGCTGGGGTTTGTTTCTTGTCACTGTTGAGTACAGTTTTTGTTTTTCTTTATCACTTTCGGTGTCTATATTTGACCTGCTTCTATTCGATGTTTTGAATTCTTGCTGCCTTTCTATTTTACTAATAGATGGGGCCCTAGGCTGCAATTCTATATTATTTATGGTACCTGATTTCCTTAATAAACTAATTAATTCTTCCTGCTCACTAGTTCTCTTCTCGAGTTGGAAAGTTAACCTTCTCATTACATCAAGTTCACTATGGGCTTTGATACAAAGCTTTTTGTCACACACTAATAACTCTTGACTGTCATGAAACTCGTCGTCATTGTTCTCACTTGTTTTCATTTTCTGTATAGTTATACTTTTCACAAACTTTTGTAACACATCACTATTAGTACCTGCAGGCAGTTTCTGATTAATTAATACTTCAATTAATTCGTCTTTTCTTAGTTTGTTTAGCTCTCTTGCTATTTGCACGTCTATATCGGCTGCCATATTCACCGCCCGTTAAGCCCACGTTTTTATTTATATATACCTACTGGGATTAAAAGTAATTTAGAAATTAGCTATTCTATATATCAAATATGTTTTTTATTTTGAAGAATATTAGTCCTGGACTTGTCGATACTGTTGACACCTGAATCCAGAGGAAGCCCTCTATTTAAAAAAATGTTACGAGAAAAGTCCATTCTTGATTCGGAGGACATAGTGGATGGTGTAGTACACGCTTTATCCACACCAGCTCACGTACAGGTAGTCCAAAATTATACTTAAGCAAAACTAGTAAAATAATAATAACACAGACCCACAAAATAATATCCGAAAGACAAGATCCTGGTATCGACATGTTTTTTGGGTCGCTGAATCCGAATCGGGTGTTCGTTTGATCCGATGACCTCTGGGTTAAGGTCAGTTCAAGGTCAAATGTAGAAAATCAATTGCCAACAAAGTAAACCAATATATCTATACGTATTTGAGGTCGCTGAATCCGAATCCGGTGTCCGTTTGACCCGATTAGCTCTGTGTTAAGGTCAGTTCAGGATCAAATGTAGAGAATCAATTGCCAACAAAGTAAACCAATATATCTATACGTTTTTGGGGTTGCTGACTCCGAATTTGGTGTTCGTTTGACCTGATCATGTCTGTTAAATACCCTCAAGTTCTAAACTCAAAACGCTCAAGCATTTAAACGTATTAAAATTTGAGTACTACTTTGAGTACACTTCTCAGATCTTTTGACAACAAAAATAGTTCGATACCATAAAAGTGAGTAGTAGTCTCAATATCATAATAGTGAGATGTAGTAATTAATTTTATGTGATTTATCAAAGCAAAAAATCCCATATCTTGAAAAGCTTTTTTCAAGAATCGCAACGAACAAAAACACACTGTGTAAATTAATGTAAATGAATCTTTGAAGCATTAACGGACATATTGTCTTAAAGCTTACTTAATTAAGCTTACCGATACTAGAATTTTATCATGTGAAAACAATAAACCCGAAAGTCACAGGCTTAGAGTTAAAGCTTTCTTTCTTTAATATTATTCGTTATTCAAATTTTAATACGCATAAATGAATACTTGAGTGTTTTGAGTTTAGAACTTAGCAGATCTGATCAAGTCAAACATACCCTGGATTTGGATTCATCGACCCCAAAAACGCACAGAAATGTCAGTTTACTTTGTGGGTAATCGATTCTCTACATTTGACCTTGAACTAACCTTAACCCAGACTTGATCGGATCAAGCGGATATCGGATTCAGATTTACCAACCCCATAAACGTATAGATACTCGTATGTATGGTTACTTTGTTACCCAAAAACGTATACCAGGGTCTTGTCTTTCGGATATTCCATTTTTTTGTGGGGCTGTGTAACTTCAAAGTTTTTTAATATTAATTTGCAAGATTTTAAAATAATTGAAAAAATGTGCGAAATTTTATCATTGTCGTTATTATCAAATGATTTATTTTCTATATTGCAGGTTCAGCAACACACAATAAGACCAGTTATCGAGCCTTTTTAAGAAAATCTAATAACAATGAAAAAATGTTGATCCTTTGAATCATATATTACAGATATAGGCTAACTCGAGAATTATTCCCATTTAAATTTTTCATATTATGTTAATAATTTGCTTTTCCTACAATAAATTGATAAGTTTTTCAACTTTAAGTCGTCCTATCATTTTATGTAAATCTCTTTCCTGAAAAATCTAAAGAAATTTATGTCAAGAATATTCGATATTCAAAATTTGGAAGACAGACAATGTAGTACATACAAGCTCGGAAGAAATTTTCTCGACGTATTTTTTATAAAAGGTTAGTTATCAAGTTATTGTTAATATTTTAATGAATTGCAATCTATATTACTTTATTTAGTCACGAAAATACCTTCGACTATGTGAGCACAGTATTCAATACCCAAATGTACGATAAACTTTTACGAAAATGAAGATATATAGCAAATATCACAAGTTGGTTGGATACACACAGCCAAATAATCCTTGGTGTTTATTAAGAGAGTTTTGTTAAATTATGTACAGCGATTGCTGTTTTTCCAGTTACTGGTAGGTGGTAGTCTACTGACTCATCTCTATTCACAAAACACTCACGATTTTGAGTAATGGTTTTGGCATTTGGTAGGTATCGAAGATACATAAATTTGGTCCCACAATTCTTGTTACAAAACTAAAGTGACAAGACATTTGAAGAGCCATGCCTTGTCCAGCGCTGAAGACTGTATTTTTCTGTGAACTTAAAGACGCCTTTCTTTCAAGCAATATTCCATTGAACAAACTAGAGAACCTCAAGTTCTGTAATTCCGTAAATTGGAATCACATGTGCTATCCCTAAATCAACAATTTGATATAATGGATGATGTACAGAAAAATACATACGATGTCAATAATATACGCCCAGTCAGTAGTACGACAGAAAAATGCAAAGAATCCAGGATACACCATTTGGAAAACATATGTAAGGAGTTACCCGCAAATATATTAATATACAGTTCATGCCTCAACAATTTCTCATAATGTCCGTTGTCAACAGTAGACGTTAAACGGTCATTTTCCCTACACAAGTTGATATTAAGTGATAAACGTCGCCGTTTCACTAAAGAAAACTTAGAAAAGCACGTAATAATAATGTTTTAACTCCTTTCAGTATGCCACGGAAGCCTTGTCTCAACATTAAGGTTTATCGGTGTCGTTTAAATTTATATATGTTTTTATCCTTTACTTAGCCTTGCTCTTTGGCAATATGTTCCGACATATTTTCTGTAAAGATATTAATTTTTTCATTCATAATCTTACTACGGTCCTGTTAAACTCCGCGCGCGCTGCACTAAGCCTACTAATTATAAGCAATAAAAAAAATTTTTAGCAAGAATCTTCTTTGAATATGAATATCAAATTGAGAGATTTTTACTATTTTATGAAAATACAAACTACAACACAAATACAAACAAATATGTATTACTATTATAATAATTTGAAACATTGTTTACTGTTTATTAAACACATATTTTAATAAATTGAAATGGAAGATAATCTGATGGCGATAAAATTAACTCCGTATATAATTATCTTATACATAAATGAATATCAAAATAAACTTTTTTTGTTATTCAATGGTTCTTCCGAGATTAAACAATAGATAATGACATGATAATGGATGAGTTATGGCTAATTAACAAATCTAAAATAAATTAATATAAGGGTTATCGTATTACGTTTGCTCTTTGCTTAGATAATATTATTCGATGTTCTTCGAAAGTTAAAAAAAAAATGATATGGTGAAGGGGGGAATTATAATGTCTCTATATAAATGAACTATTTTTTCTGCGTAATAACACCAGTCATAATATACGTCTTACTAAACGTAATAATAGTCAAAATGGTTCTATCCATGGATCGTTGGATTGGAAAAGTGGCAATAGTTACCGGTGCCGGTGCTGGAATGGGAGCAGCCATAAGCAGAGCGCTTGTTGAACATGGATTACAGGTAGGCATGGAAAAATAGTTATAAGTTTATACATTAATTAAAATGAGTAAAACATAATTTCAAATAAAAAAAATGAATAAAGCTTTGAAGAGAGCGTACAACCGGTGCAAAATGCAGAAAATAAGAGCGAATACGGTCCTCACTTAAATCCAATAAGTTATTAGTAAGGCTCGACATTTCAGTTTGAAAGCAGGGGCGTCCGCGCGTGGATTACCTAGTGCGTTTATAATAAATAATTTTATAATATTGTGGAATGATTTTCCGCAGTAGATTCTTTAAGCGATGTCCGCAACGGAGAAACTGTTTTTTAAACAGTATACAGCGTACAAAAATTTACCAAGGGATAGACCAGACCAAAATAAGATTAAAATTCTTATAAAATATTTTCCCGCGATGCACTCTCACTGAGTTACAGGGTGTTGTTTAGAAAAAATAATAACAACTTTCCGCAATAACTCAAAAAGGGATTTAAGTAATTTTTGGGTGAAGTGTACATCTATTAAAGGTCATTAAAACTACATCTGACGCCAGGAGCGGCCTAGGCCAACTTGTTCTCAAGGTTATATCTTCATAACTTTTGCATATCCTAGTTTTATGTAATTTGATTAAGTTTTTCTGAATCTGCAATCGATTCTGAATAAAATAAGTGCTCTTGTTTCATAGCTCAGTAATGAACCGTTTTCGAGTAAATTGGTTCTAAGATATCGCCTGCATCAATTCGTAGAAAAATGCATGTAACGATTTTATTTGTTGTTATCTAGTAGGTACCTGCCATTATAAAATACAAAGTTGTTTACAAGCGTACATATCGAAACTAATTACGGTACTCGAAGTTACGAGAAATTAAGTTTACAAAACAACAAGATATTAAGTATTATCAAATTTTCCCACAGCGAATATGCCGATGTGATATTTGTCTACGGTTTCTGTCATGGAAATTCGTTGGTGGCCTCAAGAGAGAATCTACGCAGGTTTCCAAACAGAAGGCAACCCTCACAGTTCGTATTCCAACGAGTTTTCCAGAGAGTCCGTGAGATCGGGAATGTTAAAATTGGAACTACCAGAATAAGAGGTAATTTGGAAGGTGCAAGCATTTTAGAAGAAAATGGACAGCATTTCGAAAATTTATCGAAATAATTATTTTCTATTTTTATTTTTAATATTGTCATTTTATAACATAATTTCGTTTCTGTTACACAATTTTCAATTTTATTTTTAGTTCCCCTATAGGTACGTAACCAAATATTAAATAATTCATAGAAAACTTGTTTAGTTCCTTCACATTCATTGAGCCGCAGCTACTTAGTCCAATTAACTAAGCCTTTAAATCGAAATTTTCATGAAAGTTGTAAAGCAGATAATTCTACATAAAAATGGTCTCTTAGCTTTTTCTTGTACTATTAAAATTAACAGAGTTAGGGAGGCTAGAAGTTAAGGGAAGATTNGTCAATATTACATCTATCCTTTTAATAATAATAATAAATTATACAGCAGAAATAAGGATACAAAATGATATCTTGACAAAATAAATATCTGTAGGTATACCTAAAATCTTTTATTTAAGCATGCCTATACACATAAACAAATATAAACATTTGTACAAAATATAAAATAAATGAAGTCAATTTCACTTGATTCATCCATATTTCAAATAGTTCTCACTGACTAAATAGTTGCTCATCAAATTATATCGAAACGTATAGTTCCATATTCCATTTTCTTAGTTCTTGTCCCTTGTCCTCGTCTATAATAGGTAGTGGGTATAACTATGTTTAGGTAGATGTGTCGCAAAATTGGAAATCTCTTTACACATATCGTTTTAAACATATTGCATTAATATTCATTATTTTATATGCACCTTACAATAACCACAACTGTACACACTACAAATTATCAAAGTAAAGATGGAGAACATCGAATCAAGGCAAACTGGCAAACCGCAAACCTAACCTAACATAATACGAATTACGAATTGAAAACGACACGGGATCACGGGAAACAAATAAACTCGGGCTATTACGCGCAGTCTACGGAAGTCACGAACATACATTTTTTCTAGACTTGTTCTTGTTATAAATATGCCAGCACAATTTTTTTTCTGTTTATGTCTGTTTGTATAACAAAGGCAAATGAACTAACGCTTGAGAGGGATTGGGGATTGGGAGCAAAATTTAACTAATGCCGAATGTTCCATAAGATAAGCAAAAATAGCAAAGGGTTGTTCGTCTGTTATGTTTCCGAGATCGAAAGGGAATGTTTCGAGTAATGTTTCAAACTCTCTTCAATTG